CTTGCCGGGCCGCCCGCGGGGAAACGACGCTCGCACGCAGTCCCGGGCAGCCTCCGGGCTCTTCCTGCTTCTGGGCCGCGCAGGCCTGCCCCCTCAGCCGCGCCCGGGTCTTTGCTGCTGCCCTGCCCTGCCCGCATCCCTTTTGTTCAGGTGCAGTGGCTCCAGGGCCTGGCCGCTCTTGGTCCGCAAGGTGGACGGGATGGTGGCCGGAAGTGCCGTGCCCCTGTTGACAGTAGCAGTCCTGGACTTAGGGTGGTTGTCTTAGATAGATAAGGTGATCTTCCCTCTGAACGCCACGTTTCAGGCAGGGGACAAGCTCAAGCGAAGGTCCCCAGTGAGTTGTGATCAGCTAGTGGACTTCTGGGTGGGGAGTGCCCAGGGCACGCGCGCACACACACACACACACACACACACACACACACACACACACACACACACACACACACACGACAGGAGGACAGCAGGAGCCAGGTCCTCCAGAATGAGGGGCCTGGGGTCCACTTAGGGAATAGTGTGGTTTGCTAGTCCAGGGCAAGAAGAGGATGGATACACATTACATTCGAGGTCTAGTGACTTGCCGTCATCACCCGGAAGCAGGCCCAGCCTGTCACAGCAGAGCAGAGTCTCCTGCTTGGCTGGTTAGTTATTAAGTAAAAGCCTAACAATTTGTAAAGGATGCAGGGCATGGAAGGAGGAACCAGAAAATCTGAAGCAGGGAGTGGTGGCATGTATCTGTAATCCCAGCACTTTGTGAGGTGGAGTCAGGGGCATCAGAAATTTAAGACCAACCAGGGCTACACGAGACCTCTTTTTCTAAAAGGGGTGTGGAGAGGAAGGAAGGAAAGAAAATTTGGATAGCAGAAACTCCAAAAGAACAAGAGTGCCCAGCCTTTACACCTTTGGTTCTGGTGGGGGACCACCCTCGTTGTCACTTTGTTGGGCAGCAAAGTATGGCCCCCACCTAGCATCATGTCCCTGGTATGTTGAGTGTGTTTAGAAGAGTTGAAATGGGTTCTGGACCTCCTGCACCCTGTACCATCTCCCCGCCTTGCCTTCCGGGAAGTCTCTGAAGGCCTTGGGTCCCATAGAAGCTGATGGTTCTACATAGAATAAACCCATTCGCCGGGCGGTGGTGGCGCACGCCTTTAATCCCAGCACTCGGGAGGCAGAGGCAGGCGGATCTCTGTGAGTTCGAGGCCAGCCTGGTCTCCAAAGTGAGTTCCAGGAAAGGCGCAAAGCTACGCAGAGAAACCCTGTCTCGGAGAAAAAAAAAAAAAAAAAAAAACCCATTCGATAAGAATTCTCCATGGAGTAGAGGACTGTGAGCACACCTACATGGGTGTCACTGGAAAGCGGGCATTTCAGAGAGGAGAGGAACCTGATGTAGGATGCGGGAAGGGATTGAGGCAAACTGAGGGGTAATTAGCATCTAGCACCCTGCCAGCTAATGCAGCTGTGAGGCACCGGGTTGGATGGGGCTGGGGTCATTCAGATCACGCTGTCGGGTGACAGCCACTCCATCCTCTGCAGTAGGATGGTCACATGTCTTCTTCCTGGCCAGCATGGTAGGGCTGCCCTGTGGTCCTCCCTTGGCTGCAAGGGTCTGCTGTGGCCTGTGTGGTTCTCAGTCTCTGGATCTCCACCCTGTTTAAGTATGAGCTGACTCCACATTTTCTGTCTCACACTCAGTGGTCTGTAGCATCCCTTTTGTTACTGGTTTTCACTGGGTAATGCAGTATGGCTCTGTCATGTCCATTATGTTGGCTGAGGAGCTGCAGGTCCTTCATTTGAGGTACAGGCTTCTTCATATGGCTATGCTTCAGTCTTTGGAGCAGGAGGGCCTGTTAACTGTTCCTGGTGACCAGTGCCCTTTCAGAGAGGAAGCCACAGGGTTTGGAAGACCTCTGTCCAGGGTACTTCTGAACAGAAGATGAGGGAATAGAAAATGGTTTTAGTTCTGTTAGATTTTTAAAAGGCAGCTGGAGAGAAAGTAAAGGAAGAAAGACTTGGTCTGACCTTAGGGGGACCATGTTTATTCATGAAGAGGACTTTGTCACCCAGGTGTGCAGATGGCCAAAGTACCGACAGAGGAAGACGGGAAACAAGGTTACAACTGACTGCTATGGGGGCTGCGGTATAGTAGCTGGTGACACCAGAAATCGTGGACCAAGAACTCGATGACAGTGTATAGCTCAAGTGGTTCCCAATGGGGAGTGGTGAAAAGTGTCAGGAGGCTGTTCTGCCAGCTGTTTGTGTCTACAGTGGAGCTAGGGGGAGCTAGGGCAGCAGGGGGGGGTGCAAGTCAGGAGTCCTTGGCCCAGGGGTGTGTCAGAGGGCCATCAGATCTGAGACACAGTCATTATTAGTTGTGCCTTCTTTCATGAGTTCACTAAAAACAGCGTGTATACACAACAGTGGGGCCTGGTAGCACAGGCCCATAACCTAGCTACTCAGGAGGCCGATGCAGGAGGATTGCAAGGCCAAGGCCTGCTCAGTCAACAGTAAGTTCAGAGACAGCCTGGTGACTTAGAATGCGTCTCAGAAGTAAAGAAGGAAGCAGTTACATGTAAGGTGCAGTTTACCTCGCATGCACGAGCCTGGTTTACGGGAAAGTGCTGCTCAGCTTGGGTGTGTGCGATTGCTGGGACATCAGAGTTCAAAGATGCGGAGGAAACGTGTGGTGGAGTTGTGCCAGGCCTAGTAGCAGTCATGCCTGTAATCCCAGCACTTGGGGGTGAAGACGGGAGAGCCAGGAGTTCATGGCTAGCCCCGACTACACAGTGATTTTGAGGCCAGCTTGGGCTTCCTATCTTTAAACACAAACAGGAGAAAGACCCAAAAAGTATTGTGGAATTGATGGAATGAGTTACCTGTGGTGGCTAGGGTATTGAGAAAACACTTGTAACAGAGAGAGAGAAGAAAAACAGGGCAAGGAAGTATTGGGTTTGGAGCTTGAGGTGGCCTTGGCTGACCTCTGCCCCTGCTCTCATCCTGGTGGGAGCCCCAGGGGATAGAGGCCTGGGTACTGCAAGAATTCTTTTGAAGTAGGGCTCTTTCCCTGGCTGCTCACCCGAAATGGTGCCCCCTTCTATGGATGGCCTTCGTTAGACCACCCCCCCCCTTACCTGGGCTGCTGAGCAACAGTCCGTGATCTCAGAGGTTTTTAGACATCCTTGGCATTTGGCAGACTGCCATTCTTAGCCCATTGTACCGCTTTGGTCCTGGACCCCAGCACGTTAAACCTTTTTTAGAGACCCTGCTTATTTGGTATCATACTACTTTATTCCTCGCCAGTGAACATGCTCAGGTTTCTCTGCTTTACCAAGCATAAAGCCTGCTGCCAGCTAGGCTGGTGCCAGCAGGGGCACCCAGGCAGAGGGCATTGGAGAATGTGACCACCAGAGCCTGAGGCTGCATGGGTAGAGGCTGCACCAGAGAATAGTGGTCTAGGGGACAGGTACTGACAAGTAGCAGTGAATCCTGGACAGAAAAGGGTGTCAAGGGCAGAAGGCAGCTTGGAGCCTGGACGCTAAGGTGGGATTGGCCCCTGAGCCCTGCCTTTCTCCTCACTGGCCTCTAACGAGCTTCCCCACCCTGCCTCACTGCCATCACCACACCTCAGAGGGCTTTTTCTGTGCTTTGATGTCCTGGGCTGGCAGCTTTGGGAAAGACTAAGAGAGAGTGGGGGCTGGGAGTGGCACAGGTTCTAGAGCTCTTATGGGATTGATACCATTGAGGCGTCTGAATAGTTAATGATCACTAACCATAGACGAGCCTGGTGTGACATGCTTGGGACTGTCTGGATCTCCTTTGCCTTCAGCATCTGGGGTTGTCCCATCTGGACCAAGGCCAGGCTTAGAACTAACCCTGTATGACTGGTTTCCTTGTCTTGGGTTGTGTGTGTCCTCAGCTGGTTAATTATGAGATTCTGACCCTAAACATAGATACCCCACCCACTTGGCAGCAAAAATCCTCTGGCCTATAAACAGGTTGCACCCCAGGGTTCTGGTCACTAGGTTGGGTCAGGTCTGGCTGCTCCCACCAGAGATATCTTCCTCCTGGTCTACTTTATTTTTGATGCTCTAGTGTTCCTGGGATCTTTTGTCAAATGTCACTTGAGCTTCAGGATAGCTAGTTTTCTCAACATGCAGTTCCCATGGACAGTTAGGAAGCTGAGTTTAGGCTTTGCGGAAGCATGAATGAGTCCTAGTAGCCCTCTGGGCTGGAGCTAGGGTCTGCTGTGCTCTACTGTGCAGGATCTGCAGACTAAGGAATGGGTTGGGAGATGGGGCTGAACCCATGGTCCCAGTGGCTAAGTTAAGCAGTGTTTGGCCTGTGTGTGTCCTTTGTGTCTCTGACACCGACACCTCCACAGCAGTTCAGGATTGCTTGGAGCCCCCTGGCCACTACGGGTCCCCAGTGGACTCAGGGCCACATAGTTTGTTCCTCTTTCTGCTGGAAAGGCGACATCTGCAGTGCCTTGGGGTTTCTGTTTTATAGGCCGCAGGATCCAGCAGCCAAGCGCCAGGACCAGACATCCCAGCAATGACCAGGTGGGTCTTAGGTTTGTGTGGGAGTTGGGACCCCATCTGTCCTACTAATCCCTTCTCACACATGGAGCTTTTCCCCAGCTCTCCTGTCTCCAGAGTCGTCTACAACGGCAAGAGGAACAGCAGTCCCCGCTCTCCCACCAACAGCAGTGAGATCTTCACGCCAGCACACGAAGAGAATGTGCGCTTCATTTATGAAGGTCGGTGCCCTTGGCGCCTGTGCTCTGCTCTACTGCCTGCGTGGGTGAATGTCCCGCCCCCACTCTTCCCACTCTGTCTGGGCCCCCGACAGTAGACCTTCAGTGAGAAGGGCACCATACTCGAGTGGCCGTAGACTCGAGACCAAACAAGGCTGGTGATAGAGGGACACGTGACGACAACCCCAGAAGAGGGCATGGGCTTGGGTAGAGCCCCAGCAGAGGCACTGTCTTGGAGGCAGTCCTCATGGCTACAGGCTTCCTCGGGAGAGGAAGTAGCTGTGAGCACAGTGTGTCACTGAAGTGGACAGAGGTGGTATGGTTGGAGTTGGAACAAATGTACTGGGAGGTAGGGTGAATAAAAGAGGTGGGGGTGGGTGGGACCCTCTAAGCACGTCTGTGGCCCTCTAGCTTGGGGAGGCCATTGCACAGAAGGGACCGGCCTTCTGGAGGAGCTGATGCAGAGGGAAGACAGTTTGGGATTCTGCAGGACACCCTCAGCTGACAGAGGGAGACTGGTAGAAGCAGAGATGAATGCTGCTGAAGGGAAGGAAGGTCTGCTTGTCCCAGCATCAGGGGCAGATGCTCTGTTGGCTTGAATACTGCAGAGACTGAACCCAGTGTCCTCTTGTTGCAGCCTGGCAGGGTGTTGAGCGAGACCTGCGCAGCCAGCTCTCTGGCGGTGAGCGGGGCCTAGTGGAGGAGTATGTGGAGAAGGTTCCCAACCCCAGCCTCAAGAGTGAGTAGAGCAGGCCTAAGGGAGCTGGAGGGAAGGCCCTGCTTCCTGCCTGCACAGTTGTCCTTTCCCAGACACCTGGGTTTGGGAACCTCTAGCAATGGGGACTGGGTGGGGCTCTGTTCCCAGCACCAACCAGACTGTCCCCCGACAGCCTTCAAGCCCATCGATCTGAGTGACCTGAAGCGCCGGAACACGCAGGATGCCAAGAAGTCCTAGAGTGCCTGGCGCCCCTCCCCTGGCCTCCACAAGATCAGGGTGCACTTGATGTTGGTTCCCTCTGTTCCAGTGGCTCTGCTCCTGGGAGGGGGGAGGAGAGTGTGCTCTAGCGGGCCATAATCCCCAGAGCCAGCAGGATTGATGGTCAGGGCCCTTCCTTTCCTCTCCAGGGTGTCAAGGTGCCCCTGTCACTGGGGGAACAGGGGTCTGGCTGTGTCATCCCCTGTCCCTTCCCCTGGCCAGCTGCATCTTGGGTCGCACCTGGTCCTGCTCTCTCTGCTGTTACCTGCCATGCCTCCTCGCCCTCTCCTTCCTGGCCACTCAGGGTCGGAAAGGGAAAAAGGGACCTCTGTTTCTTTGGCTGTTGGAACCTTGAATGACCAGAAATTAGGACATGTGCAGTCCCACCTGCATCTAGTGTGGGTCTCTCCATGGAGACTTCTTCTGGCCTGGACGTTGGGGGAGCTCCCCTGTCCCCACTGTCCATCTTGCCCCTTTCTGGCCTCAGTTTCAGAGTGGAGTCAGCTCTGAGCCGAGGACAGTGGTGGCCTCTAGCCACCAGGCCTGGTCTCCTGGGACCTGTAGCCCTGTGGCCACAGCAGTGCCCTTGAGCAGGGGCACTAAGACTGGCCTTGAAGGAGTGGTGCTGCCAGGCCTGTCCTGGCTTTCTGGGGTGTGCTGGGAGGATTACCAAGGCCCCCTTTTCTTGTACCCTCTTGAATCCAAGTGTCTGTGTTGGAGACTGAGGGTCTGTGAATAAAGGCGGGTGGCACTGGAAGTGGTGTCTTAGCGGTCTGTTAGGCCCTGCTCTGAAGCCCACACAGCTGCACAGGGCTGGAGACTCAGGCCTTGTGAGCCCTGCAGATCTGTGAGCCCCTGGCCCCCCAGAGGAGTCTGGTGAGTGATAAAACCAGATCTTCGTGGTATCCAAGCTGCTGTTCCTCATATGGAGCTCTGAAAGTAGTTCACACTTTTTTTTTTTTCTTTTATCACTTTGAACTCCTTGCTGGCCTGGTCTATGGACTCTGAGGAGCGTTGGCTCCTTGGCTGTCTGGGGCAGCTGCTAGGCCCATGAGAGACCTGGCTGCATTTGACCTTCAATCATGGAAACAGCCCTGGAATGCTCCTGCTCCTGAGAAGATGCCAAAGCGGAATTTATTTCAGGAACATGCTTTCCCAGAAGAGTATTCCGGGGCTCAAGTGGCCCCCAGAGGCATCTCCTGGGTGTGGGCTGGGCAAGACAAGTCTCCTCAGGGAGGTGCAGGCAATACAGGACAGTGAGAAATAGCTGTTCTAGGTGCCAAGCCACCCCGTGAGTTGGCATTGTTAGTTCCCTGGAGCCTGTTGGGCTTTTTGAAGAGGCTCAGCGTCCTAGGCTGTTGTTACCTAATCTGCTTCCCATTGTCAGGACTGGAAGGGGACATCAGGACAGGGTGGGTGGGCACACAACCTGGGATCCAGTGTGTCCGCTGACGGATCAAGCAAAGTCCTAACCCGAGAACATTCTGCCTCCTAGTGGGGTTGATTCATATCAGCTCTACTAGAGCACTTCCAGGGGCTTCCTGGCCTTTCCTGCAGGGGTAGTGGGCTTGGACTCTGGCTGGGCCGGTGCCACACACATGACCTTCAGCGAAGTTGTCATAACCCAACCTCTTAAGTGGTCAGTACTTGGTTCCTGTGTGGTTCCCAGGCTAAGTACCTGCTGCCACTATTAATCACTCATGGATTCACTTGACAAGGTTAGCCCAATATAGTGAGCTCAGTGACACATAGCACTTGGACGTACTAAATGCCCCTGAAATGCATCAAAGCCATATAATTGCTGGGCGGTGGCGGCACATGCCTTTAATCCCAGCACTTGGGAAGCAAAGGCAGGCGGCTTTCTTGTGAGTTCGAGGCCAGCCTGGTCTACAGAGCGAGTTCCAGGGCAGCCAGGACTGTTACACAGAGAAACTCTGTCTGTGGGGCGGGGAGAGCCATATAATTTGGGTCCTAACAACTGGATCAGTCCTGTTTTGGGCTGTGGGTTCTGTCTTCTTCCTCCTAACCCCAGCCACCTAGGCCTCTGTGCTTTGCCTCTCAGTTCACCAGGAGTCCTTGCCTTGTACTCAGTGCTAGCTGGAGTCCCTTGCCTTAGAGTGTAAACACCTGTGAGGGCTGGAGAGGGACATCCCAGTACCCATGCCCTCTGCATGGAGCCTCGTGCTGGGTGATCCCAGGTCAAAAGGTGAGCAGGGGAGGGGAAAACAGGATTTGGTAGGTGGGGCTGACCTGCTTCAAGGACTCAGGGAAATATGCCCCTTGTTATGTGCCCCCCCCCAACCTTACAACACACCCATCTTCCCTCCCTGCCAAGGGCTACCACTTGGAATCAGTGCCACAGGGTGAGAACGAGATACTTGCACCTATTCCCCTGTGGAGAAAGGGGTCAGGATCAGGGTTTGGAAACCTGCACCAGGTCTCCCATCCACCCTGGCTGCAGGCCCTTCCTGAAGCTGCTCTGTCACCACAGTACTTAAGTGATACTTGTAACCCTTAGCCATCCAGAGGGCTACCAGGCCTAGTGGTTAGCAAAGTGAGCTGAGCAAGAAGATGCAAGCACCTTTGTGGATCAGTGTGCCTCCTCCTGTGCTGTTCACAGAGGCAAACCCACACATCACAGTTAGCTTTCAACCAACGGTGACAATAAAAGGACAAGTAAAGCAAGCCTGAATTTATTTGTTTGTTTGGTTGGTTTTTTGGTTTTTTCGTTTTAGATGGGCCTGGCTGTAGCAGGAATCTTAGAAGGCCTTATTAATAAAATCAAACCTGAGGCCAGTTATTGGAGTGAACACTGAAAGATCAGAGAGACAGAACAAGCCACAGCTAACCTCACCTGGCCAACTTCTCAGCTGATCTTGTTTCCTCAGACTGGAAGCCTCTGTGTCCTCATATCCGAATGAATCTCAGCTGAACTGTGCTGCTCGAAACCTAAAAGCTTAACCAGCCAAATGCTTCTAGTTTCTGGTCCTCACGCCTTATATACCTTTCTGCTTTCTACCATCACTCCCTGGGATTAAAGGCTCGCTTTCTGGGATTAAGGGCGCAAGTCACCATGCTTGGCTGTATCCTTGAACAGATGGATTTCTGCCTCTGGAATGCTAGGACTAAAGGCGTGTGCTACCACTGCCTATCCTAAGTATCTAGTGGCTTTTCTGTTCTCTGACCCCAGATAAGTTTATTCGAGTATACAATATTTTGGGGAGCGCAATACCATCACACCTGACTGGTCTGGAACTCACAAAGATCAACCTGCTTCTGCCTCCCATGTTGTAGGAATTAAAGGCGTGTGCCACCACAACCAGCTATCCTGAGTTTTTCATTTATTGATTTTCCCACTTAACGCTGCACCAGGCTGTTCCTGTCCGGTCTTCTCTAGATTTTTTTTTTTAATTCTATTTATTTTAAGTTTTTTTTTTTTAAACAGGATCTCGGAGTCACAGAGGTCCACCTGTGTTCCTGGTGCTGAGGTTAAAGGTGTATGCCACTATATCCAGCTAATTTTTTTTCAATGTGTATGTGTCAGAGTGTCCATATAGGCCAGAAGAAGAAGTTGCATCCCCAAGAACTGTAGTTACAGTCAATTGTGAGCTGCATGATATGAGTGCCGGAATCTGAATTCCAGTCCTCTGCAAGAGTATCCAGTGCTCTAACACAAAGCCACCTCTCCAGTCCCCACAGTGGTTTTGCTTTAGTCTTTATTTTCTTTAGACGGGATCTCAAGGTGGCCTCACCCTTACTATGTAGCTGAGGGTGGCCTTGAATTTCTGACCCTTCTTCCCTCCGGCTTCGTAAACATAGGGGTTGTAAGCATGTGCCACCATATCTAACTTACGCTGAGGATCATGCTAGGAAGGGACTATACCACTGAGCTACATCTCCAACCCCCCGATAGTTTTGTTTTCCCTCAATTTTGGTTGCATCAAGACTGAATGATTATGGGGCTGGAGAGATGGCTCAGAGGTTAAGAACACTGGCTGTTCTTCCATTGTTCTTCCAGAGGTCCTGAGTTCAATTCCCAGCACCCATATGGTGGCTCCCAACCATCTGTAATGAGATCTGGCTCCCTCTTCTGGCCTGCAGGGATACATGCAAACAGAACACTGTATACATAATAAATAAAGAAATCTAAAAAAAAAAAAAAAAAAAGATTGAATGATTACATTATGACGTTTGTGTTTGTATTCAAAGGCCAACCATATGGTGAGTTGTTTTTTCTATTTTTTCCCCGTGGAATTACTAATTGCCTTCTTTCTCCATCTGCTTTGTTTCTTTTCTTTTCCTTTGTATGTGTGTGTATGTGTAAATATGTATGTGCACGTTTATGTATGTGCAGGTGCATATGTATGTGCATGAGTGGAAACGGGAAACACCTTGAATGCTATCTCCAGGAAGCCTGTCTGCCTCCTTTGAGATTGGCCTGAAGCACTTGTCACTCAGGCTGGACTGGCTGGCTGGCAAGCCCTGGGTCCTCCTGGTTTCCCAGAACTGAGATTGAACTTGCACACCATGTTGCCCTTTCATTCTGCCTAGTTTGTGGGACCCAACAGCTTCATACGCAGTAGGCAAGCACTCCACCATTGCTCTGCAGCCTCTTCCCTTTCAGGTTTTGTTGTTGTTTGTTGAGACAGGGTCTCTATATAGCCCTGGCTGTCCTAGAACTCACCATGTAGACCAGGCTGGCCTCGAAATCAGAGCCCTGCCTGCTACTGCCTCATAAACGCTGGATTAAAGGTGTGCACGTGCACCGTGACCCACAGCTGGCACCTCCAGGTATTTGTTTTGTGTTTTGGAAGTCTCATGGAGCCCAGGCTGATCTTGAACTTGCTATGTAGCTCCAGGCATTCAAGTCTTTATCATCCTCCCAAGTACTGGAATGACCACATCTGGTTGTGTTTGCTTAGTTTCCTGTATATTAATCCTAAAGCCTGAACTCTACCCAGTCACCTGAATCTCCAATCTGTTCATTTTCACTCCCTTTAGGAGACTCTCTGGAGCCCTTTTTCTGGCTTGAGGTCCCCTCCTCTAAGCAGTCATCCACAGCTCAACTCTCCTAAGTTTGATCCTTGATGATCAATGTCTTTTTTTCTTCTGTTTCCATCTTCATTTTTGTGGTATGAATGTCCACACACCAGATACTAGGGGACCACATGCAAGTCATCTTCCTTCTAACAACACACATTCCTCTGGAACACAACATTTATACACCTGCCACAGGGTTCCATTTCCTTTCCTTCACATTCACACACCTGTGTCCCTCTGAGGTGCCTGTGCACACTCACTCCCACACTTTGCTGAACAGCACCCGACATTCCTATGGGGAGGAGGAGACTGACATGCAGGACTAAGGGAGGGGAGAGAACCCTGGGGAAGGGATAGGGTCCCCTGAAATGAAAGTGATGCTGCATGGACCCTGGGTTGAGCTGGAAAGAGTTCCTCCACCACTGCGGAGCTGCCAGCTCATGGTTCGTGTTCATTGGCCAGGTGAACCTGCCTGGCTCCCACCTCTTCCCCTGCCTGCACCAGCCTGCTCCAGTTCCCTTGGGGACAGAGATGGGGACAGGGGTGAAGCAGGACAAGGGCAGAAGGACTCAGGATGGGGAGGGCTGTCAGGAGGCCCCAAGTGAGCTGCATCCCCCAAGGCAGTCACCAACCCTGAGCTCAGCTGGCGTGAAGGAGAATGTACACACTCATGTGCTGGCCTGGAGTGGCTTTGTGCCCACAGCAGGCACCCAGGCACCCAGAACTCTGGATCTGGGGCTTGGAGTCTGGAGGTCTGGGATGAGCTGCCCAAGACGGCAAGGTCAGAAGCCCCGGGTCTCAAGCAGATGCAGCCAGCTTCACTAGCTTCCAGCCCTTTGTCTCCTACCAGTCCTAGTAATGCAAACATCCACCTGGGCCAGAGGTGTACCAGTCCTCCGAGCCCAGCCTCCTGCATGTCTCCTCCTCACTTCCCTCCCTGCTGCTCTCAGGCATTTGGAGGGTGGCAGGGTAAGGCCCCTTTTAGGCCCCAGCGCCTGGTCTGGCAGGTGAGTCATTCTATTTACCTTTCCTGAGAGGCCTCCTGTCCCTTCATTTGCTTCAATTAGCCTGCTCTGCCTGAGCAGCTACAGCCCACGTGGCCTGATGCAGGCTGTGTGCACCCCTCCCCCAGGGTCCTGCACCATTTTCTACTAGCAACTTCAACAGAGGTACCTGGTTGACTCCTACCCCACCCTATCTTCACAGCACAAGCCAAAGAGACAACCCCAGAGGTTGATCACAATCCTTCCTATGTCCTGTTCGGCCCAGTGAGGCCCTAGTTTGCATGGCTGAGGCAGGAGACTTCACCAAAAACACTTCCTCAAGGGGCAGCTTGGAGAAAGCAGCCCCTACCCCAAAGCTCCACGTTGGGGACAGCTATTTGCTGGATCGCATTAGCCCTCTCTGCCTGGTGAGTACCCATCCACAGCTGCTCCTGCTCCTTGAGCTGGCCCAGCTCTCCCGCTGCTTCAAGCCCTGCAGTCCAGGATATGCATAGCAGCTACTAGTTGAGCTCTTTATTGAAGGACATATATCTGTGCACATGGGACATGTCAATGCACATGGGGACGCCCAGAGTCTATAGCACAACTTCTCCATCACATTCAACCCCCACTCCATCAGTGTGGCCTGTGCCAGGGTCGGGGCAGGTTTGGGGAGTGTGGATAGTGCAAGCTGTTGTCTAGCTGCATTGTCTCCCCAGCCTTGGCCAGGTATCTATCTGGTCCTGAGTTGTCCTGTAATCTGAATCCAGCCTGGCTGGGCTCCAATGGAGATTCAGATGTGGCTGTGAGCCAACCCTGAGAAACTACTGACAAAGGAGATCTCCACAGAGGGTTCACGATGGCCAGTCCCGTTGCTGCTGCCTGCACTCACAAGCTGAAGTTTCTCCCCGGGATCATCACGACGACTCGACCCTGCAGGGGCCATGTGGCTGCCATGGCTGATCGCCGTCTGTTCATCCTTCAGGGCTTTGCCCTCCCGCCAACGCCTCCAACGCCGCAGCAGCTCTGCCTGCACCTAGGGGAACCACAGGTAGGGCCACTCTGTCATCCTACCTCGCTAGGATCCTGCCTGGGTCACTCTGAGGTGCCCAGCTTTAGTCTAAGCAGACCTAAAGTCAAACTCCCACATTGGGTACATTAGGGCCATCTGTCACCAGGGAAGGTGGGCATCACCCCACAGACTCAACTCCCTGAGGACCTGGGGGGCCTGACATCCAACACATGCAGCCATAATAATGGGGAGGAAGGTATGGTCATACCAGGGCAGGGCTGGCCTCTGTGCCATGCTCTGATTCTGGTTCCAGCCTCACCTACCTCCTTGTTAAGGAAACAGTAGAGAACAGCCACCAGCAGACCCTGGAAAAAGAGGGTGGTCAGGGGCAGCACTCTGGGCCCTAGGGATGGGGTATGGTGGGGGCTCACCTGGAAGGAGCTGAGGAAGAGGTCGAAAAAGAGCTTGGTGGAGCGCAGGGTGCCCTGGGCATGCTCATCAGTCACAAAAGCAAAGACCACCTCATGGACCCCCAGCAGAGGGATGAGAGTCAGCGTGGACCTGGCTAGCCTGCAGAGGCAGAACTTGAGCACCCTTACCTGCCAGGGCTTCTGGGCTCTCCCCAAAGGCATTGGCCCCCAACCCCAACCCTCTCTGGCCTGGGCCCTGGCCCTTGCCCACCGGAACTTGTAGTCAGCATAGTGCATTTGATGGGCACGCAGCTTGGCCACAAGAAGGTGAATAATGCGGACAAAGATGAAAAAATTGATCTGTGTGAGGAAGACAAAGGTCAGAGGCAGCCTGAGAACTTCCTGTGTCTTGCATGGAGCTCATGTGTCCCCCCTGCAGGTGAGGTTGTTGCCAAGTAAGCCCTGGACACATGGTTCTAGGGCTGGCAGGCAGGCATCCAGCCAAGGATGGGCAGCCTGACCCACAGCCCAGGGTGTACAGCCCTTGGATAAGTGCTGGGATTACCCACCCTCCATCCCTGGGCAGAATGTGTTCTCCTGCTACACTTCTAGAAGGCTGAGGAAGCAAGGACCTGGGAGAGCCAAGCCAGTGGCCCTTTCCCCTCCGAGGGCAACAAGCATCTTGTTTCCTCACCAGTATGGCCAGGAAGACAGGGATGCGCAAGATCCACCAGAAGCCCATGTTATCATTGCTGGTCCAGCACCTGCAGGGGGCGGTCGCTCACATCCTGGGGATGCATGCAGCTCCCCAGCCCCTATCCCTCTCTGCTGGGATTTACTGAACACCCCCAGAAAGGAAAAGTGAGAGCCTTTAATGAACCCCAGCTCTAGAACCCTGGATTTACATCTCTTGTCAAAGTGTGACCCTCACCCCGACTCCCCCCACCCTAGGGTCTCTTTACAAAGCCCAGCACCATCAGCCTCAGCTGCTCCAGCCCAGCCTATTAACTCATACTCACTGGACATTCTCAAACAGACACCTGACCGCCACCCAGGGGATGACAAACAGCAGAGGCGCCCCTGTGGGAAGCAGCAGCTGTGGTTCCACGGCCCTGGTTAGCTTGCTTCCCCACTCTCCCCACAAGCCTACTCACCCCAGCCAATGCCCAGGTACAGGGAAAAGAAGCTCTTCTCTGGGAAGGTGGCAAGGCTCAGCAGGCTGTACAGGTACACACCCTCTACCAGCAACCAGCAATAGTTGGCTATGATGCCGTACTGCATGATCACTGTGGCCACTCGACAGCCAGCCACTGCCTGAGCAAGGTGAGGTATGAATGGGGTCCACGACACCCTGCCACCCTACACAGGCTGGCGAGCCTTCAGATCTGGGCTCACCCCATCGCTGAGCCAGACGCTCACGCTTAGGTCATCTCCAATCTTCTGGCTGTAGCGTGTCTTGAGCAGCCAATCAATGACCAGCACAGAGCCAGCCTTGAGCACAAAGGATGCAAACAGGTTCCCGTGGATACAGTTTCGGGTGCAGTGCAGCTTCCTGTACGACAGCAAGTCAGCACCACCCCTGCCCTGTCCCTCTGCCCCCTTACCACACTGAGTATGAGCTGTGAGTGACAGCTGTATACCTGACGCCCAGCAGGATGACCAGGGCAAGGAGCAGGGCCCCCAGGGACAGACTGTAGCCCACAGTGTACATCACCTGGTAGCTGCTGTACATCTTGGCCACCTCCTTCTGCAAACCAGAGACTGAGCGGGGCTGGGCAGTGCCTCACTCCCCGGCCCCACCCGGCCCCACTGTGACACCACCCCAAGCCCTCCAGAGCTGACCTGGACCTCGATCTCTTCATCATCCATCTGACACTGGGAGGCGTTGCGCCATGGCTGCCCCTGTGGCCCTCGCACCCACTGCCCGTCAGGCCCACACCTCTTGAACACCAGGCGGTGCTGCACTGGGGCATGGGTGCAAGGCTCTGATCAGCCCACCCCTAAGCCCCACCCCCTCAGCTTCCCAGGCCCTCCATTGTTACCTTTGTGGTACCAAGGCAGGTACCAGGGGCAGGAGATGTTGGCTGTGGTGTTGGGAGGGGTGTCAGGCCAGCAGGAGTACTTGTCAAAGGTTCTGTTACAGACTAGCTCTGTGAAGATGCAGGGGGGTGGGAGAGGGTTCCAAACCAGGACCAGATGCCCCCTGAGCATCACCACCACTTCAGTGAGCCTGCATCCAAGGGGGCTGCCTCCCTGATGTGGGGCACAAGGAGCAGCCCCTGGGGCCAGTTATCCTGTCTCCTGGACTCCATGCCCACCTCCCCCTCCAGCTCAGCCAACACTTGAGTTTGCCCCAGGTCCCTTTCCCTCAAGGTCTCCCATTCAAATGTGCCCCAAACTGCCTTTTTTAAAAATTAGTTTTTAAAATTTTCACATTTATTTTAGTGTGTGTGTGTGTGTGTGTGTGTGTGTGTGTGTGTGTGTGTTGTGCACATGTACATGTATAAGCGCACAGAAGCACACGTGTGGACATAAGCATATAGGTCATAGGACAACTTGGAAGAATCATCTATCTGTTTTCACTCTGTGGGTCCCGGAGCCTTTATCTGCGGCCCCTCCCTCCTTGTAATACATTCCTTCCCGGATGTTGATCCCAGTTTGGTTGGCATCCTTTCCAGGCCCAGGCCCAGGCCCCACCACAGTTCCTACATCCTTCTCCCTCATCCTAGGCACTGGTCATCTCCCTCAACTGAACAATGATATGGCCCCAGTCTCTCTTGGCGCCCACCACTGACCTTATCCACTGTCTGCCCACTGTGAGCCGCGACAGCAGAGGTGTCAGCTGGCTGGGGATAGGGACACCCTGCAGCAGGGAGGACAGCAGAGCACGCCAGCTGTAAGGCAGTTCTGCATTTCTATTGTTTCCTGACCATGCAGCCTCGGGGAAGCCCACTTGCCTCTGGAGGTCAGTCACCTGGCCTGTAACTGGGGGCAGGTGGCTGGGCATGGAAAAGGCATTGAGTGTCACGGTCACATTCCCGTAAGAAGGTCTCTGCACACTCAGGCAGGGTGACGGGTGCAGGAGTCTGTCAGTGGGACTCACCGGTAGGTGGAGGCAGCAGGCTCAGGTTGTGGTGGCACTGGTCACCGTACAGCTTCCATTTCTCAAACAAGAAGTCCATTACCTGGGCAGAGGGTGCCCTTGGCTGGGAGACAGACCAGAAGGACGGACAGGACAGACAGCCGTCAGTACTTCTGTGCAGAGCAGGCAGCCCTCCATGCGGGTGTGGGGTGCACAGCACTCACCAGGCACAGCAGCAGCAGCAGCAGCAGGTGGGGGCTGTGGGGCTGCGTGAGAGGCATTCCTCCGGGTGGCCACCCCCCACATCTGGCGGGGGCTGCACGTCTTGGTCCTTGGGGGTGTGTACACCCCTCCTCAGGCTAGAGAGAAGCCGAACAGTGGAGTCTGGAGAAAGTCTATAGAGCATCCTGTCCCCTAAGACTAAACCTCTGAGGCTAAGGCCTCCTGATAGCTGAGGCTTGTGCAAGGGACATGTGAGCAGCTCCCACTCAGGGACAGGTGACCATGGGCAACTGTTTTCCTGCTATCTGGGGCTGGCTGGCTGACAGTAGTCAGCCTTCCTACCTGGCCACCCTGTTCTCTCAGAGTGGCACCAACACCTCAGTTACTTCCTCCTCCCTCAGTCCTGTTGCCCTGGCTGGGCCTAGACCTCCCCACCTATTCATTCATTTATTCATTTATTCATTCATTCATTCATTCATTCATTTATTTATTTATTTATTTATTTATTTATTTATTTATTTATTTATTTATTTATTTATTTATTGGCTTTTTTGAGACAGGGTTTCTCTGTGTAGCTTTGCGCCTTTCCTGGAACTCGCTTTGGAGACCAGGCTGGCCTCCAACTCACAGAGATCCACCTGCCTCTGCCTCCCGAGTGCTGGGATTTAAGGCGTGCGCCACCACCACTGCCCGGCCCCACCCTTGGAAAGCCGACTGGCCAGACAATCTAACCCAGGATAAAGAGTGAGGGTGCAGGGCCTGGGCCCATCGCCACTTGGTTCTTATGCCAGAGAAGTTCCTAGACTGCCAGGGGCCAGGGGTGGGAGGGGCAGGTGCTCAGGTTGTCTCTGCCACCTGTATGTCCCCTTTCCCAGGACCAGTGTGTTGTACAAGGCTCTCAGACTGGGCCTCGTGGTCACTTGGGGCACCAAACTGGCAGCACATTCCTCTAAGATTAGCACAGCTGCTGCCATGGCCCAGACAAGGGACACCTCTGCCGGATGTTGCCGGCAGGACCTGATAACCCTAGTGACAGGTCCCGGGCAGCAGCAGCAGCCTCACACCTCAGCCCCACACTGCTTCAAAACTCTGCTTGGCTCTGATGGAGTCTCATGGGAGAAGAGAGAAGAGCTTCTTAGGGCCTCACACTATAGGGTAGTCACACTATGAGCCTCCCAGGGCTGAGATGGGCCTCTCCCCTGTGTACCCACAAATAGAATATAAATACAGAGCCAGGCATGATGGCATATATCTCTAGTCCTAGCTTTTAGGAGGTGGAAGCAGGGGGGCCACCCAAAGTTCAAGGCCAGCCTGGTCTATAGAGTGAGTTCTTGGCCGGCCAGGACTCCATAGCAAGATGCCCTTGAGGTGGGGAAGAGGGGGTGGTGAAGAGGAGAAGGACATGGATATGGCTAAGGTAGAGGGATTTGCAGGGGCCTCAGCTGGCAGAAAGGGGGACCCCTGGATTTCAGCCTACTATGGTAAGACCCGTTGAGTTCTAGAGGCACCAGTTAGATAGGGCTTCCCTTCACTTCTGCGCTCCCACACTTCTGGCCCTTCAGTCACTTGGCTTGCCGCCTACTATGGGACTCCTGAGTCTGGCAGGAGGCAAGATCCAAGAGTTTTAGATCTCTGGTACCTGAACCTCAGGGCAAAACAAAGACCCATAGAGTAGAGGGTTCCTGCTAGGAACAAAGCAACAAACAGGTTGAAGAGGAGAGGAAGTTCAGGAATTCCTATCTCTGGGTCACCAAGCGGCCTTACTCTCCTGATTTGGATCAAATCGCCCCACTCACTGCCCAGGTCACTAGTGGGCTGGTATGGAGAAGCCAGAAGCTGGTCCTTCACCCACTATGCCTGGCTCCCACTCCAGAGCTCTGGGGTCTCCCAGAGGCCCTGAAAAAGAAAGGGTGGAGATGAGAAGGCTTTGGGGCACAGTGAGATTGACAAAGGATGACCAGTGTGAGTGGCTAGATAGTGGGAATACAGGCAAGGGGCATGGGAAGGAAGGATACTGGCCCAGGCCCTGCAAGGGTGGAAATCAGTCCAGTACGGGCAAACAGTCCTTAGAGCCTGGGTCTGCCTCCACAGCCCTGGTTGAAAACATGAATGTTCAGCAGCTGGGTGGTCCCAGCAGCCTGGAGTCCCAGCACTCTGGAGGCAGAGGCAGGTGGATCTCTGAGTTGGAGGCCAGCCTGGTCTACAGAACAAGTTCCAGGATAGCCAGGGCTACACAGAGAGACCCTGTCTCAGGGGCTGGGTTGGGGGGGTGGGGAGAAAATGTCAACTTCTGAAGCCCACGTTACTTATCTCCCGGGCTAGGAGGACCGTGGAGCTGAGTGTAGGAAAGGCTGCTGATGCTTATCTGGGAACTCCAGAGAAAAGCAAGCCCCCAAAGAAGGGGGATGGGTTGTCCTGGGCCCTCATGGCCCCAGATCTCTCTTCAGGGCAGCTTGCCCAGGGGCATACTCCCATACCACAGAGAGTCATAAAGGCAAGACTGAAGCTGAGCACAGTCATACAAGCCTTTAATCCTAGCACTTGGGAGGCAGAGGGAGGTGGATCTCTGTGAGTTTGTGGCCAGCCTGGTCTACACAGTGAAGTCTGGGACAGCCAGAGCTACATAGTGAGACCTTGTCTTGAAAAATACAAAAATAAATAAATAAATAACAAAGAAGAACAAAGGTGAGACTGAGAATCCTTGAGGATTTCCTTCCATGCAGATCAGGGTGGGTGGGCTCAAAAACACTCAGGGCTAGATTACTAAGGGTCCAGTAACCTTCCACTGAGTCTCTCATAGAAATTAGGGAAGGGCAGAGTGGGTGAACTTTCTGTTCCTGCGGGTGGTGGGGGAATAACAACAAGGGGATTTCTAGATAGTTCTCTGAATGGTGAGATAGAGAACATCAAGGAGATGGGGACTGATTTTCAGTCCCACAAGGCTGAGAACACCCAGGCGGGCCTCATGCTGAAGCCTGTGAAGAGGGACCAACAGGGAATCCTTTTTCTTGTCACTGAAGGGGATGCACCACTGGGTGGTACAGGGCTTGCGGGATAGGACTGCTCAGTCCGTGTATCCTGTGCAGTCTGCCTCCTGTCCCCACAGTGGGGGGTAAACACTGACACCCAGACAGAGCCCGTCAGCACTGGGAGCACAGTGCCAGCCCTGCGGGGACAGGCAGGGTGGATGTGGTACCTTTGCTCCTGTGGCTGTCTGCAGGCCTGCCTTTTCCACCTTATTACCCTCCCTGGCAAGGAACAGATGGAGTAGGGACAATGGGCCAGGGACGCCGCCCTCCTCCCTGGACTAGGCCGCTGAAATCCTTCTCGGGTCTCAGACTTCACGAGGCCCAACTGTAGGTGAAACATGAAGATATAAGTCTGAATTCCTAAGACGTCAGCCCGACTTGTCTTTATGCTCTTGCCTGTGCCCTCTTCTTCACAGCTCAGATCTGGCACACCGGCCAGACTGGCACTGCCCCATACCACCACTGCTCCCAGCCGGCTCCAACAGGACAAAGGACGCTCCGGTGTTTGCAGTGTGGCCAGTGAGCCACTGATTTTTGTCTGTAGGTGGCTGAGGGTCAGATGGATGGCCCTGTGGCTAAGGGAGGCATCACTGGGGAGGCTCTTGGCTCCCTAGGAGACGAAGTTGGAGGGGTAGCAAAGTCTTTGTTCTGAGGAATCCATAAAGGTATGGATTGGAAGAGGGTTTTGGTCAAAACAGAGAAACTAGCCCAGGTCACAGCCCTAGAGTAAGAACAGGATCAGGGTCCACAGGCTGTTGACAAAACCTAATTCCTGAGTCCTTCCCCCTAAAGAGGGCGGGCAGGCCCTGAGATACCTGCCACAGTGAGCTCAGATTCCTCCTCCTATGTCTCCAAGACAGGACAGCAAAATATTCCTGGTCGATCCTCGGAGGAGGGTGCCAGAGCCAAGAGGTGAACTGCGTGGGTCTGAAGTGGGAAGGTGGTCGCTGGGGAGCCGGAAGCAGGACAAGGCAGTGACCCGCGCTCGCAGGGGTCAAAGTGAACAATTGTGAGCTGCGGAAGAAAAGCCCTCGAGGCAGGGTGCCTACGCACCTCACCCTATCCCAGCAAGATTGGGTCACTGCTAGGGAGTCCTGGGCATTAGGGACACATAGGAGGGGAAAGAACGAGCCATCAGGGGAGGAGCGCGGAGCTGAACTGCGTTAGGCGCTCAGTGGGCCAGCAAGACCCACGCCTGCTCCCACCCTCTCGCGCTCCGGGAGGACAGAAAGGAGAGCTTGAGACCCCTAACCTTCCAGACGGTTAGGGATCAGGTGACCGTCCAAACAGTAGGACACATCCCCGGGGTTGGAAACTGAGGTGTTCGACGGGGGCGAGAACCGCAATGCCCAAGACTCCAGGGACAGTTGGCCCACGTCCAGGTCCGCGGGTCAGCTCCTCAGTACCCTCTCTGTGCGCCCTGGTCACGCCCGTGCTCCAGCGCCCCACAGACCGCCTGGGACTGTCCCCAAGGGGCCCGACCCTAGTGCTCACTGCGCTCAGTCGCTCGGGTTAGGGCTGGGCTCCTCGCGGTCCTCGAGCGCGCTCGGGTCTGGGAGCTGGCAGCCAATGGTCTCCTCGGCGCTGCGATCGGGGTCGGCGCCGGCTCCCAGCCAGCCGCTTGCAAACTTTCCGGCGGCGACGTTGGGCGGCGGCGGCGAAGGGGGAGGGGTGGGGGCGGGAGCGGCCGGCAGGGGAAGGGGAGAGCCGAGGGTCCGAGCCCTCGCCTTAGCGCAGTGGACCTGCTGCAAGCCCTCAAACCCTCTCGGTGAAACCCCGATATCTCTCCCGTGCGTGCGGCGCTTGCTTTGCGGATCTGCACCTCGCGCACCCGCTTCCCCTCCCCTCTGGCACACAGAGCCTTGCGCAGGCCCTGACCCGGACTCCGACCCGACGGGTCCTTTCCGAGGACCCTCGCCTGGTGTACCGCAACCCTGCAGATCCAATCTTGCACCTGGACTTCAGAGACCCTCCGCGGGTGAATCCTGACCTGGCCGGTGCGGGTGCTGGCGGGTCTGAGCTCGCGGAGGAAAGAAGTGAGGGTGTGACTCAGCGCGCCCCTTTCTCTTCAGACGTCCGCTGTCCTGGGGTCGCACCATTGCATTCAGGTTGCAGTCCTGATTTTCCGGAAGGATTAAGTCCCTTACTTAACCCCACCTGGCTCCTGAGTGAAGGAAACTACTGCAGCTGTCCCACGCGCACCACAGGCGAGGTGGGGGAGGTCAAGGCATATGGACTGCCCTGCAGGTTTCAGACGAGGGATCCTCTAAGAGTGCCTCTGAACCCCTTGCCAGGTTACATCCGCTGTGGGCCGCAGGGGCTCGTCCTGTCCAGTAAGTCTCCTCCAACACCGCTCATTTGACAGCCGTTGACCTGACCCGGACCTCAGTCTGCACAATCCGTTCCTTTCCTCGAAGCGTCCTTTTCTGAGGAGTCAAATGTTCCGAGCAACAGTCCACCTTTCACCCCTAGACTCAGCCCTGGAAAGGGCATCCTCTCCCGCTCCACCGCCCCACTCCTGTGAGCCCTTGAACCGCCTTTTGCTGCCTCACCTCTGCCCGGGCATTCCCCTCTTGCCCAGTGACCTTGGGGTCAGAAACTCCCACGGGTGCTTTTGGATTTCCATTTCTCTAGCTTCTCCACATCCTGTAACACTGGGGGCCATGTTGCTTTTTAGAAAGTCCTCCGTGTGGCTGTGGCTTTCAGCATGGGCACTCACTTTCTCCTGCTTTCATGGAGATATCCTCCTCAATTTCCAGAGTTCCCAGACTGACTACTCCTCTGAGCTCCAAGCTGCCTATCTGCGTGGTGTCTCCTTTGCCTCTTACGTGCAGATCACCTAGGCGTGAACCCGAGGCACCTCTCAGGAGCCCAGGCCATCACCAAGTGTCTATGTCCTCTGGAACACATTTGGTCTCTTCTCTGTCACCCATTGGCTCCCTCCCCAGAACTCCCCTCTGGACCTTGGGTCAATTCTTTGGTCAGATACTGTCCTTCTCCAGGACTCCATTTCTGTTTTAGGGGATGTTGAATCCTGTGCCCCAAGCTATGGGTCCCCCCATTGGAGAGCCAGTCCACCCTCCAGGGCCTACTAGGCAGCTCCTGCTTTGTACATGTGTCGGGTCCACGGGACAACCCTGCCACCTAATCCTCCTCCTGTGCTGTAGGACTCAGGGAGAGGGATGCTCCTGCTGCTGTCTTCTCTGTCCTCATTTCCAGAAATCCTGCATGGAGCCAGTCTCTCCGATTTGCTCCAGGCAATGACCAGAAGGCAAAGGTTAGAAGGCAAAGACCTTCTGTTTGCTTCTGCTGTATGGGGGCCACTTGTGCAAGGCTGAGGGACAGATACAGCTCCTCCTTCAGTTCCTGTCCCACCTCCCTGGGGCACAGGCTGGAAGACTGAGCACCACAGCTGCCCCTCTGTGAGCTGGGTAGTGAGACTCAGGGGTGAGAGGTGCCATGAGCTCGGCACCATTGTGGCCCTGAGCTGGGGGTAGCAGCTCCTCAGTGGTCAGGGGCAGAGTGGGAGCAGGCAATGGGTCTTCAGTTGCCTCTGTTATTCTGTGGTTCGCTTGGGCTTCCTGAACCTCAAGGCTAAGTTCCTTGGAGGATGGAGGGCTTTCCTGGTAGGATCTTTTGAGGACCTTACCCTCTGGCAGCAGGAAGAGACAGTCTTGAGAGTAGGGATGGGGCCACACAGGCCTGGCCGTAACAGGTGCCCGGCCCCTGGTGGGCTCCCGATTTACCTCACTGAAGTCTGCTTGCTCACGCTCCATCAGGCTCCTGGACCTGTTGGTGATCCCACGAGTGCTCAGCCTTGTGAGATCCAGTTTTAGGGGCTAGAGAAAGGCTCAGTGAGTGAGTGACAGAGCACACAGGGTAAGCACGAGGATCTACGTTGGAATCCCTGCACACACACCAGCTGTGTGCACCTGGAAGTTGGTGCTGGAGATTATAGAAACAGGGGGTCACTGGGGCTTGTTGGGTGCCAACCCAGCTGAAAAACTGAGCTCCAGACCCTGTCTCAAGTGAGGAAGGCAGAGAGTGATAGCGGAAGACACCTCTGATCACACCCACTGGCAGGGGTATGTGTGTGCACATACACTCATGCATACGATAATAACAAATTTTGTTTTGGTTTTGATGTTTTTGAAACAAGGTTTCTCTGTATAGCCCTGGCTGTCCTGGAACTTGTTATGTAGACCAGGCTGCCTCAGACTCAGAGATCCACTTGCCTCTGCCTCTTGACAGTAAAGGCTTGTACCACCACACCCAGCTAATAGTTACATCTTTAAAAAAATACTTTTAATTAATTTATTTATTTTATGTGTATGGGTTGTTTTGTCTGCATGAATGTCTGTGCACCACGTGCATGCCTGGTGCTCCCAAGAGGCCAGAAGAGGATACCAGACCACCTGGAGCTAGAGTTACAGACAGTTGTAAGGCCCCATGTGGGTGCTGGGAACTGAACCCTGGTCCTCTAGAAAAAAAAAACAGCCAGTGCTCTTAACCACTGAGCCATCTCCCCAGCCTTTAATAATTAAATTTTTAAAATCCTGCTTGGCAATGACAAGATAGCTCAGCAGGTAAATTTGCCTGCTTCCGCGCCTGGGGGCCTAAGGTCGGTCCTCGGAACCCTCAGGGTAGAGGAGAGAACTGACTGCGGCACATTGTCCACTGTACAATGCACCGCCACACTCCAACACATGCATACCATAAACAAATAAATGCAACTTTTTTTGAGACAGGTTTCTCTGTGTAGCCCTGGCTGCCCTGGAACTCGCTCTGCAGACCAGGCTGGCCTCAAACTCACAGAGATCTGTCTGCCTCTGCCTCAAAAATGCTGGGATTAAAGGTTTGTACCACTATGCCCAGTTTTAGCAATAAGCCTAAAGTCTGTGGGAGCACAGACTCCTCAGCCTCCATCTCTCTTAGCTGCTTTCCCCTGCCCTGGTCTGCCTTTGGCATGAATCCTGTTAGGTTGATGTACCAGATTTCCCTGGGCCCCAGGATCTGCTGTCACGGGCTGTTGGTTCCCACAGGTCATGTGCTCTGAGCTCAGTTCCAGATGCGGGTGTCTACCCCATAACAAGAACTCTGAATAAAGTGTTTCTGCCTCTTGACCATTTAGTTCTGAGTTCCTCATATCAAAAGACATAAACAGAGTGGAGCTGAGAATGAAGGGGGCTGGGCCTTCCCACGTGTAGCTAGCCAGTGTCTGTGGGCCTGGGACCCGGATGGCGCCTGATGTCCATGCTGTTGGGGGTTCTTAGTGAGAAGGACCTCCCAGGAAATGCACTGTTTTGTGTTCCAAGACAGGCTGTGTATTTGTTCAGAAAATAAGATGTGGCAATGCAGGGAAAGGAGCAAAAGACAGTGATGCAGGGCCCTGAAACAGCGAAGTTCTCTTCTCTCCCAAATACCACAAACCAGTCTTGAAGTGTCTGTCAGTGTAGGCAAGAATGACTTTGAACGACTGATGTTGCCATGAACACGTCCTGATTGCTGGGATGACAGACATTCACCACCATGCCTGGATTCCTTTCCCATTTCTGTTTCATGTCACGCTGGGATGAAATCCAGGTCTTGGTGCATGCAGGTAGTCTAGGTCTCTCTCTCTCTCTCTCTCTCTCTCTCTCTCTCTCTCTCTCTCTCTCTCTCTCTCTCCTG